CAGATCCAGTGGTGCCAGCATTGCCGACCACCTGCCTTCCCCATGCAACTGTGAGCCCCCAGGCTCACTTTTCAGGTCCAGGCTGTTTCTGGAAGCGGCTGCCCTCTTCCTGGCCCAACAGCTGGGCCCACCAAGTGCCTGTTCCATGTTCTCTCATGCAGTTCTATGACGTAGGACTTTTTGTGATTGTTTTTATAGATGGGGAAACTGAGGCCCTGACAGTCTTAAGCACCTTGTCCAGGTGACAGAACAGGCTTTCTCAATCCAGGTCAGAACTCCCACTGCCTCGATTCCTTCTGGCTTGCTTTGATAGACAGTAATTCACAGCATTTAACTTGAAACAAAGTTTATATTATGTCACTGTGCATCATCCTAAATGAACTTACTGGTGTTAAGAGGGGTAGAGATGGGGGAAATGGGATTAAAGGGAAAAAAAACAAGGTCTTTGCTCTTGACAGCTAGTCTGGCAGCACAGGTGGTGTGCCACATTTGGGCTGCCCTGCCCAGCGCCTGAGCCCTGACCATGTTACACGTGCCCCAGAACTGAGGGTGAGGGGCCTCTGCAGGTGGGACGGCCTAGGGACCCCAAGTGACAGCAGTCTGGCTGCATTCTCTGCAGAAAGGCCACCCTTGGGCCTCCTGTGGCCTTGGCGGAAACCCCTCTTTCGTCTGGCTTCTAATGAAACACCCTTCATTGTTGGAAGTGGGGGCTGGTGGTGGGGCTCCTGTGATCAGGGCAAGTGGAACCCGTGGCCTGGGTCTTGGTTGCCTGTGGCTGGCTGAGGCCATGTAGGGCCTGTCTTGCCTGGTGCAGGGCTGGATAGGAAGAGACCCTTACCTATCTTCTTTGCATGGCAGCCAGTGGTGACCCCACCTGCGTGCTGGAACACGCACCCAAATGCCAAAGACCCTGCTGGAATGCCTAAGCCTACAGCATGGGAGGACCCCAGGTGATTTTTCTGTTCTTCCCATGGGGCAGGCAGGAAGGAGGGGCCTGAGACTGAGAAGCAGAATGTTGGAAACAAGCTGGGGAGAGGACAGAGGTGCCACAGATAAGGGCTTCAACCTGTTGAGAGCAGCAGGGCTGAGAACAACAGTTATAAAAGCACCCTGTGAAAATGGGGGTGGGGTGGGGGATAATGTTTGTGGAGTAATGGGGTGAGAGAGACGGGAGCACCTCCTGTGGGCCCCCAGCTCTTGCTGGTTATCCACAAGGATGACTTTGTGAAATGGGGACAGTTTCAGGTCTGAGAACATTCAGTATTCTCTATATTTAAAGGTCACCTCCACCCTTAGTTTGGAAGGAACTGAGAACATACGTATGTCTTTGTGTCTTGGTTAAAGAAAAAAATCAAATTTCGATCAAAAGTTGTGTGTGAGCATGTGTATGTGTGCTGTGTTAATTTAAGTACACAAGATAGCAAGTGTCCAGGGACCCAGGAAATTAGGCCAAAGTCTTTTTTAAAACATTTCTCTAAATGTTTTACTTAAATTTTATAGTTTTAAAAAAGACCCTGTATGACAGAAATAACAGATGCACATTAAAGGAAACAAACGCTGAAATGGACAAAGATGAAAAGCCTCACATTCCCACGATCAGAACAAAACCACTGTCTTCACAGGCTTTTCCTTCCAGGCCTATTCGGAGTATTGGGGCCACTTGAGTTGTATCGCTGTAGGTACAAGTTTGTGCTGGCATCTTTGTGCTCTAAGTGCATGTAAATGATATAAATGTTTGACTGAATTCTAACAGAGGGTTAGGTGATGGATCCACAGCTGAGGGTCCTTGGTTGCTGCTAATGGCCTGGGTGCGTCATTGGAGAGTCACACCATCTTGCTAACCTTCTCTTATCTCATCCCAGAGGCATCTACAGTTGACCCAGAGGAGGCACCAGGACCTCCCTGGCTGTCGCTGGTACAAAAGGGTCCCCCAGAGCCCTGAGACTTCTTCCTGAGGGTCTGGCCTGGGCGTTCTGCTTTAGTCCAAAGAGTTAGGTTTTGTTTCCTCCCAGTCCTGGATCCAGCTGTATCTTCAGGGGCCTGAGCCTTCTGGCTGTTGGGACCCTCACTGGCGGGCAGCTGGGGCTGAGCCATCCCCTTCCGAAATGCCCTGAGCTGCTGGAGAAGCCGACTTTTCCCAGTACAGTCCCTGTGACACGAGAGAAGCAACGTCAATCAATGCCAAGTGGAGGCCAAACCTCCCAGTGCTCTCCCACTGCTCTCCCACTGCAACAGGACACAAACACACAAAAGCCAGAGTGCTTTCAGAAGCGTGTTCCCTGGTTCTTGAGATGCTAAATCAGTAATGATTGCAGCTTTTGCCCTTGCTGAGTCAGAATGCATGTCAGCATGTTAAAGGCTTCTGGGATGAAACCTGTATGACCCTTCTCAACCCACGTTTTTCTTCCCTTTTTTTCCCTATAATGCCTAATCACAGACTCCATTAGGAGAAAAATTACATTAAACTCTGACATTCCCAAAGGGTAGGATCTGCAAGCTTTGCAATTCCAAAGATGATGGACACTGCCACAGCATATGATTCTAACTCACCCCATGACCACAGCATGGCCTCCCCACGTCAGAGACTTGAGCCTTCTCTGTGTTTGACATTTCATGTCTTAATTCACCCAAGCTTTTCATTTCTGGCTAACAACCATCACTTTACTCCATCCCTACAGTTCCTCTTCACTTCTAGTACCATCAGTAATCGGAAGCAGAATTAATTTGGGAAGCTATTTTACAGAAAGAAAATGTACTAATTTTTTCTGAAGAGCAGGATAAAGTGTCCTTGGTAATGTCCAGGGACAGCAGTCCAGGCTGAGACGATGCTGGGCTCCCCCATGGGCCTCTGCCAGGGGCTGAGACCTCCCCCTACCCCACCCCGCTCCCATCTCTCATGTGCTAGCCCTTTGGATGCAAGGCAGAGAACTAAAAGCATAAATGTTAAATGGGCCAGGCCAAGGCTTATGCAGAAAGCAGACAGGGAGCAGCCCCAGGCAGAGCCTCGAGCAGTTACCGTACCCCCCTGGGCCCTGCTGGTTTCTCAGAGCCACTGTTTCCTCTTCCTCTGCCTCCTCGCTGTCAGAGGAGCTGGAGCTGGAGCTGGAGTTGGAGCTGGAGCTAGAGCTGGAGGAGAGTTTGCCATGGTTCGGTGGACGTGCCCCAGTCCACTCCAGCCAAGCCAGCCTATCACCAGGGACTTGGAGTGCCCAGGCCTCCCTGGTGACCCAAGGCAGGAGGATGGGTAGGACAGCCAAAGCCCAGTGGTGGAGGGTCGCACCCCAGGGCAACATAACCCACCTAGATTGTTTACTTAGATCTCTTCAGGAGAAAGATTACTGTCTGCTCTTGCTTCCCCCGTCCCTACTCAGAGAGCCTGCTGACCAAGTGAGACTGTTGGCCAGGCTCAGCTCCCAGCTAAAAGCACTTCTCAACTTAGCAGTGCTCCCAGGATTTGCCCACATCTGAGTCCTCCTGTCTGTCAGAGTTCCTGTTCCTCTCTAGGCCAATGTGGCATCTGCAAAGCAGTGGGTTTGCTTTGGGGCTGTCACCACTCCCTGTACCTTTCCAATGACTGCTGGTCTGATGGCTCCGTGGGCCTCAGGTCAATGAAGGTGGTAGGAGGCTTCACTGGGTTCCTTAGCCAACACTGGCCCAGCTCAGCCTGGAAGCCCAGCTCTGTCAAAGCACGTCTGAGATGAGAAGAGCAGAGGTGCTGAGTCACTTCTTAGTGGTTGTGTGTGACCTGCACTGGGCTCATGGCTGCCACTGACTGAGTAGTACCCACTGTGTGTCGGGCACAGAGGTAGGCCCCATCAATGCATTCGCTCTTTTACTCTTCAGAACAAACCTCAAGATTTAGGCCAGCGCCATCCAATCGAACTTTCTGTGACGATTAAAATGTTCTATGCCTGTACTTTTCATCATGGTAGCCACTTGCTACAAGCAGCTATTGAAATTTACATTTAAGCTAATTAAAATTAAATTAATACAATAAAATTAAAAATTCAGTTCCTCAGTTGCACTAGCCACATTTCAAGGGTTCAGTAGCCACATGTAGCCAGTGTAAGTCTAGATATTTCTGTTAGACACTTCGGGTTGCCAGGATTAGAAGCCACCACAACTAGCTCAAGCGAGAAGGAAATTCATTGGCTCTCAGATTCTAGAGAGTAGAACTACCAAAGTGTGGGAAGAGCAGGGGTACAGCTGAGCCTTAAGGGACCCCAAAGCTCTGTCTCTACCTCTGCCCCTACAGCTTCACTCTTTCTCATCACAGCTGGCCTTTCTCCACCCTCCCACCCCTACCCAGAGACACGGGAGAGTAGAAATTCCCAGGGAAAAGCTCTGATTGGCCTGGCTGGGATCAGATGCCCAGGGCTGACCCAATCAATGGTGACCAGAGGGGCAGGGCCCTACTCTTGGGGAGGCCATATGGATGGTGAAGGGAGGGTTCTCATGGGGTAGGAGAAAGAGCAGGTGTTTTGGGGCTTGGGTCCCAGCTCTGCTTCATATGGCCTGGGCAAATCCACCTCTCTGAGCTTCAGTTTCTCCATTTATAAAATGGAGATAATTGTACCACCTGATCAGATTCTTGAGATGAGAAAAACACAGAGTGCCCCACCCATAGTAGGACTAATAAATACTGCAAGGCCATGGGCCTGTTCTAGAGAGGACTGGGCCATGGCTGGCAAGAAGTCCCACCTGTTTCCAGCCTCTCGCTGTTTGGTGTCCTGGGACGTGTCAGCAGGCATTTTCCAGGCAGAGAAAGAGGTTCTAGACTGCGTGGCACACAGGAGGGTGAGTCGTTCCATAAGCTTGTCCTGGGCACTCTGCTTGGTGTGATCTGACAGGAAAGCAGGAGACGCTTCTTAGTGGGGATGCAGTCTCTGCTTGACTTAGAGTGGCCTGACCTCCCATGTAGATGACACTGGTTGTGGGGGCGGGGCTCGTACATGGAGAAGTGAGGCCAGTGGAGGCCCCCGCCCCACCCCTTCGATACCCCACCTCCACTCAGCATGGCTGGAAGCCATATCTTTATGAGTGGGAGTTGTATTAGAGCCTTGTGAAGTAGAGGTGACTTCTTAATGACAGTTTATCCCACTTTCTCATTCCCGAGTCCCACTTGTCAGAGGGAACCACAATTAAGAGTTCTCTGTGTTCACTTTTTTTTTTAAAGATCAATGGGATCATCCTCTGTAGATTTTTTTCACTGAATATGTCTTTCTGTGTTAGTATATAGATAGATTCCTCCATAGAGCACAGTGTGTTCTGTGGTGTAACTGATTTAGCTAGACTCTTATTGAATACTGAATATGGGTTTACAGTTTCTCACAATTGTAAACAATGCTGCAACAGATAGGAAGATTCTTGGATACATATTTTTATCCGCCTGGGTGTGTACATGTTAGGGTAGATTTTAGAAGTGGAATAGCTTAATCAAAGGCTTATATCCCTTTAAAATAGAAAACAGATTCTGCCACATTGCCCTTCTTTTTGAATTACAGCAGTTACAGCCCCCCACCCCTGCCCAGCCTTATAGGAGGGTAGGTTTCTCCACACCCTGCTATCAGGGGTTAAATTACAAACAAATCCCTGTTAAAAACAGCATGGGGCCATCAGCCCCTGGCAGAGACTTCAGCTCTGAAACTGGAGGCCAGAATGCATGTTCTGGCTCTTTTGCTTCAGACTTGCCCCCACTCACCTTTTTGGGCCAGGCTGGGAGGGGATAGGAGCTTTTGTTTCATTTACAAAATTGCCTAGAGCAAGGCCACAAGTGCAGTGACAGTAATCACATCCCTGGCTTTAAACCGGAGGCAGGGGAAACAGGATTGTGGTTAGGAGCTATGAAAGGCAGGATACTTTGTTCTCAGAAAAAGAGAGAGAGGCTTGAGGAGGTAGGGAGGAGGAAAAGGTGAGGGTTGAGGGCAGAAGGCCCTCCCTAGGGCCTGGTGCATGCCTGGCAGATAGCAGGCAGTCACATATATAATGAATAAATGAGTGAATGAATGGAGTGAGTGAATGAGTGAGTGAATGAATGAAGTCTTTCAAGGACTGGCACGTGAATGTTCAGGACAGTTAGGGCTGAGCATCAGAGAGGGCATGGTGGGCTGCAGGGCTGATGGTCCCCAGCACATGGTCCTATTTTATTGAGAGGCCCTGGGAGGAGCTACTTGTGGGGATGCACTTGGGCTCTGGCGTTCAAGGTCAGACCTTGGCCCTGGAGGCGGTCAGCTGCCCACCACACCGTTCCAGTTGCTCTGTCTCCTCTGTCATCTTTGTCTTCTTGTCCTGCCAGACTCTCAAGGATGTGATCCAAATCCCACTCTTCAAGTTGCTGAAATGATTAAAGTGGTGATTGTGAGGCCGTTGCAGGGTCCCAGAAGCACAGTTGCTGTGACCAAAGGAGGCTGTCAGAGGATGCTGTGGGGTAAGAATCAGGGTTTGGGGCCATGGCCACGCTTGCTGACAGGCTCACTCACTCACCCTTTGAGGGTTGCAGAATGAGCTACCTGGGGTCTGTACTTCCTATACCTTTTTTGGGCAGTACTTCTGCTTCTGGCCAAAGGCATTGTTTGACCTGGAGGAAAGCCAGTGTAACTGAAAAACTATTCAGGTTCTTATAGGTTTAAAACAGGAGGTTAAAAAGTCTTACTCTCTTAAGAAATAGATTGTTCCAGGCAGGTGCTGAAAACTGGAAGACTTGGAAGAGAGTGCTGTGGGGGCAGTGTGGGTGTGACTGGAGAAGGGAAGTTAACCAGGAATTAATGTTTCTTATCTATGACCTTTCAGCTCCTTGCAGCCCTGTAGGCGAGTGAAAATAAAGGCGTTTAGGGGCAAACAGAAAGGAAAGTACAGAATTGATAAGAATGGATGGAATCACTGAAAATGATCTGTCACCTTGATGCCAGTTTTCTCTAAATTGTTAAGAAAATTACTAAAAATTTATTTAAAGGCCAAAAAGAGAATTGTATGACCTTTCAATGTCACGCTGGAGCCTTTCTAATTAGCCCACCTTTCTAGGGGTGGTTGGTTTGCACGACTGACCAGGGCCCACCTGTTTTGGAACTTGGTAAACCTGAGAAGATGTAATGGTTTTCTTTTTTGTCCAGTAGAGAAGACACCCCCATAGGTAACAGTTCTGTGGCCCTGAAGGACGTTGCCTGGTTTTGCACTGAATGTAGCAATTTTATCTTGGTGTTCATGTCTTTTTCCCCAGTGTCTTACAAATTCTAGTTTCTCATAATATCTTTGAACCCGTTTTGTCATCCTGCTGGTTCCCTCATTCATGAGCTAAATCCAACAGTAAAAGGAGCTCACTGTTTGAGAATGAGTGCTTTAACATTTGAGAGTTATGCTTTGAGAGTCTGTTCTCTATCTTATATGCAGTTGTGTGTCTTTATAAATATGCTTGGGATTAGCATTCTTTTATTTTTTTAAAGAAGGCTGGAGTCTCCTTGCGCTTACTTGTTCTCATTAACTCTACCTGAGGACAGTCTGCCTGCCAGGCCTATATAGCCACTGAATCTGGTACGGTGGCCTGCCTTCTAGTGGACTGGGGACCATGGGCATAAGGTCGCTGCTGTAGACTGAATGTCTGTGCCCCTTCCAAAGTCACATGTTGGAATCTTGACCTCTAATGTGATGGGGTTTGGAGGTGGTGCTTTTAGGAGGTGATTAGCTCGTGAGCGGGGAGCCTCATGAATGAAACTAGCGCCCTTATAAAACAGGCCCTATAGAGTCCCCAGCCCCTTCCACAGAGTGAGGACACAGAGAGGATGGTGGGCCCTCACCAGACACCAAACGTACCAGCGTCTTGATCTTGGACTTTCAGTCTCCAGAACGGTGAGAAATGAATTTGTTATTTAAGCTACTCGGTCTATGGGATTTTGTTATTGCAGTGGCCACAGACTAAGACAGGTATACTGGGCCAGCCCTCAAGTTTGCCTGTAGAGGACTAGCTAGGGACCATGTGCAGGGCACGCCCCAAGGACTCAAAGGGCAGGGAGCTGCCTACCTGGAGGGAGAGCACTGGCAAGCCTTCCTGGGGACCCTGTGGTGGTGTTCCTGGTCTTGGACTTGCCACTGTAGCTTCACAGGACATCTTCTTCCCTTGACTTTGGTCACTGCAGTCGGGGTTCCGGGGACCCCAGGTGACTTTATGGAGTAGGTCTTTCTCAATCATCTTCCTTCTCTCCCTTCGGAGAGCTCTCTGGTTGGCAGAGTCTGAGCCCTCCTGAGACTGAGAGGCGGCACTTGGGGGCTCTGTCCTCCGGTCTCCTTCCTGAAGACAGAGGGTGGCTTCTCCTTGTGGCTCCCAGGGAGGACTTGAGGATCCTTTGGTGTTGATGGCCATGCCCCCATGGTCACCTTCCTGCCACGTAGGAATCTCCTCAGGCTTCCTAAAAAGAGAGCTGCTCTCACCACGGCTATCCAAGGACTGGCCAGGGTCCCTTCCTTCCTTCGTCATTGCATTCCATTCACCCCAGGCTCCTGCTGCAAACTCCACAGGCACCGCAAGCGGCTACACGGGAAAAGAGGTGTCCTCAGTTAGCAGCCTCAAAACCGGGAAGGTTTTTTTAATTGTGGTAAAATGTGTGTATAACATAAACTTTGCCATGTTAACCATTTCTAAATGTACATTCATAATGCTGTGCATCCATCGCCACTGTCCGTTTCCAAAGCTCTTTAGTCCCCCAAACAGAAACTCTGTACCTCCCCCTGCCACCCAACCCCTGGTAAACTCTAATATATTTTCCGTCTCTATGAACTTGCCTTTTCTAGCTATTTCGTAGAAGTGGAACCATACACTATCTGTCCTTTTGTGCCCTTTCACTAAGCTTAGTCTTTCCGAGATGTTTTATCACATTGTAGCATTCCTTTTTGTGGACTGAATAATATTCCGCTGTATGGCTAGACCACATTTTGTTGACTCATTTTGTTTGCTGGTGGACACTTGGGTTGCTTCCACCTTTTGGCCACAGTGAATAGGCCATATAGCTATTAAGGGGTGGACATGATGAATCCCAGGCCCTTTGACTTCAGAGCAAGCCCACAGCTCTGTCCTCAAGGGTTAGTACAAACTTTCTCATCTCAGATTGAAAAATAAGTAATCCAGAAGAATTGTAGAAATGAAGAAGACAAAATAAAGTCACATGGACATCATTCTACCTGAATGATGTCTAACCAGGGGGGCTTGGCAGCCCTGGGAATTTCTCCTGTTTGGAGTTCTTTCAGACATACTTCTAGGCATGACTGAGTGAGTGGGTAACTTCTGTCATGGTGATAGGGAGAGAACATGCCCTGGCTCTATAAGATGACCCTGCATTAGTTCTTGCACTGAGAACTGAGTGTGGCTGGGGATCAAGTGGAATAGTGGGGCCTAAATCAGAAAGTCAGTCTCCGCCGGGGTCCTAAGTATGCTGGGCTCCTGGGAGAGTGCTGTGCACCAGGCGGGTAGATGTTTGATGTCTGATCTCCTTGGGCTGTACCTGGAGAAAGGCCTGAGTGTGCAGAAATGCTGCACCAGGGATTTTAACCTCTTTGACCCATAATGCTGTTAAGGGTTCAGTGAGAGCCATGGACATCCACTCACTTCCACACCCCATTTTGCCCACAGGGTCCCAGCATCACAGGTCCCCAGAACCTGCCTCCCACAGACCTTAGGAGACTCATAGGCCGTAGGGACCCAGGCTCCATCAGAGTCTTCAGCCAGCTCCTCTGACAAGTCTGGAATCAGGGAGGTTTGATTTCGTTGGAAGATGAACAGCTCCTCTTCCCCGCAGTCTGACTGTGGACGGACAAGATATCTTAAGGATTACATGGCAATGGCCAGAGCCAGGTGGGCCTTGGGCCTCGGGCCTCAGGCCCCGCCTACCCTGCCCTGCCTCACCCCACCCAGCTACTGGGGAGTAGTGAGGGTAGATTAGCTCTGAAAGTAGTAGGGGGTAGGTTAGCTTGCCCTGAGCTGGTTTCTGCCACTGATTTAGAACTTGGCTTACCAGCACCACCTCGTGGAGGTGAGATCCAGGGCTCCTGGTTCTGTGTGTACCTAATACCCTTAAGACTTTGCATACACAGGTGCTCAGTTAATGCCTGGTGCTGAATGAACTGGAAACCAAGGTGGGAGCTGGAAGAGCAGAGTCCATCCCTCCCCCTCCTCCATGACCTTGAACCATCACTTAATGACAGGGAGCCTTGGTTTCTTGCTTCTGGTCACCAGCACACCTCACAGGGATAGTCTGAAGATGAGTGCAAATGAGACTGCAGATATGAAAAGGCACTGGGGTCATGTTGTTATCTGCTCCCATCTGTAGCCTCGCTGCGCAATGGATACTCCCTGAGATCCAGGAAGCTCTGCTGTTTCATCTTGGCAGGTGCCCCAGGTAGGACCCAAACCTGATGTGTTACTTCTAAAACCCTTGCCCTTTCTCTAAATACTTGGCTCCAACCTGTGTATTTGGCACCCACTGATGAGGAGTTTCTGCCTGGTGCATTGCCTACCTTGCTCTGTACATAGGGTCACTGTCACACCTTACATGTCTAATTTACACTACATGGAGAAGGTGGTTGAGTTCATTTAAACCAGAATTCGGAGTCACTTTTGTCACCCAATATTCTCTTAGTTGGTAGAAACTAGAAACATAATTGCTATCATGGTAAGTTGGGGCACACCAGAGTATATAATGTTACAAAAGGGTCCTGGTCCTTGAAGAGGCTGAGTAGGCTCCTTAAATGTTTGTTGAATGAATGCATGTGATCAATAACAAAATTACTATGTATTATACATTTACCATGTCCCAAGCACTGTGCTCTAATGTAGATCATTTAGTTCTTACAACAATTTACATCAGAGCTGGGATTTGAACCCTGGGCAATGTGGAATCTTGGTCCTTAATTCTTATATGATGTACCTCTCTGTTTGTTATAGTCCTCCATAAAGCATCCTTGGGATGTTTGCCAGAACATAAAAATGCCAGGATATGGAGGATTTTGTTAACTCTATTAATTGAGCACCTACTCTGGGTCACGCTTTTTACATACAGAATCCCAAATTTGTGCCAGTAATAACTATCTGTATTTTGCAACAAGGACACTGAGGCTGACCCAGGTATGGCAACTGCTCACAGGTTACATGTAAGTTAGCAACTTAGTGGGAATGGGGACCCAAGTCTGCTTGATGCTGAAGCCCCTGCTTTTCCTGCTCTTCTGTGGTGCTGTTCTGGACTCTGTAGGGCCAGGACATGGCCAGGACCTCCTCCAAGAGTGGCTTCTATTTCAATGCATTGAGATTAGCCCTTGGAGGAATTCTCTAGTTGTAGTTTGAGGTCACTGGTATGGCCCAGGAGGATGCTGAGCACCAATAAATGTATTCAGAGAATAAAAACAGAGATCATGATGAACACAGAGCTGAGAAGCTCCAAAGCTGTCTGTGAGTCAGCATCATGTTTGTCATGAGAAGGAAGGGCAGTCAGGGCCTAGGACTGGGAAGAAGGTGCTTGCTTACCGAGGAAGAATCTGAGTCCAGAGATGGGAGCTGCTCCCTGACAGTCTGGAGGATGGTGTTCCAGGACCCCATCTGGGAGGCCCAGGAGGAGGGCAGTGAGGGCCCCACATCTTTGTCTTGGGATGCCATGAGTGCTCAGGCTCAGAGGAACTTTCTCAGTATGCCATCATCCAAGGATTTCTGTGGAGGATGCAGGGTGAGGGGCCAGGGGCCAGGGGCCAAGGGTCAAGAGCTGGGGGGCTGCCTTTTTAAAGCATCTACCATCCCATGGAGGGTGAATACCGACTCAGACTTCCCATCCCATTTCCCTTTGGTGCTGAAGGTTCCTGTTACTGAGTGCTAGGCACTGTGCCCTGCACTCTGTGTGTGCGCATGCGTGTGTGTGTATGTGTGTGTGTGTGTGTAATGATGTATGCAGCCTGCAGATATATACTATGTATATGATGATATTATATAGCTAAATGTATTGATATAGAATGATATATGTCCATAGATATATGATATATAGAATGATACATGTATATGATATAGATATATATAAACTACATATGTATATGTCCTATATAACACATATTGCTATCTACATTCTATGGGCTCAGAGAAGTTATTAGTAAATTGCAAAGACAGAATTTGTATCAAAGTTAGAGGGGATTTCAAGCTCCACTATCCTTTACTGCCCCCTTACAGAGGAATAAACTAGACATTTTGCAGTCCCCAGATCTTTTTTTGGAGTTGCCACTCAAATTAACCTCTTATATCCAGGCATTGCACCCGCCCCCCTTTTGTATCCCAGAATCTAAAAGGCCGGGTCCTTCAAGGATCAAGGGGGCTTTAGGAATGTGGGATGACTGTACTTCAGAGCCAGTGCCTGGAGAATCCTTGCAGCCTGAGAGGCAGCTGTGCCTATAAAATGGGAAGAGAACACTCCTGCTCCAGCCCGGGATGGCTATCACTCTGCGTCAGGGCCCCCATCAAGGTAGTAACAGGAGATGGAAGTGTGTGTGGCGGGAAGCGGGGTGGGGGTCGGGGGTAGGTGTTTCTTGCTGCTGCTGTGCTTATGGGAGTGGGGACAGGAGACTGGTGCACCCTGACCTGAGAACAGCAGGGTGGGGACGTAAAACAAGCGGATTACTATTTAAAAAGATGTATGTCTGTTTGTCAAACATAAGTAGAAGCCAAAGAAAAATAACAAGTTTAAAGACATAGAAAGAGTCCTAAAAAAAAAAAAAGAAAAAAGAAGGACAGATCAGAGGACAACAGAATCAGGTAGGTGAAGGGGGCTACCAGAGATCCTGATAAGTTCTTCAGGCGGACAAGGTAATAAGGGAAGGAAAGGCACTACAGGCTGCGGGAGGAACATGCACACTGGCTCAGAGTGAAAACTGCCGAATTGTTTAAAGTGGGGGGCAGGGGGTAGAGAAAAAGTGTCAGTTGCTGGACTATGCAGTGAAAACGAACCATATCATGAAGAGTCCTGAACGTCAAGATAAGAAGCTCGGCTCATCCCGCAGACGCGGGTTAAGCCAAATGTTACCGGAACCCGCAGCTCTAGTCTCCTCCGAATCCTGACTCTGCTTCCAAGACCGTTTCTTGGCTGTAGCCCGTTAGCCCTACCCAAAGCCCCGCCCCTTGTCCCTCGTGTGGCGGTTGTTATGACAACTAGACGCCAACGGCCTCCCGGGTCAGGCTTTTAAATTCTAAAGTTCAGAAACAGAAAAACCCATCGCTCGTCCTCCCACGCAACCCCCAGCCCCTGTTCTCCTTGTCTTGTTCAACTCCTGACATTTATCTCCGCAGCTACGGCAGGCTTGAGGCCCCTCACCTCAGGCTTCTGCCTCCGCCTCCCCTCCTTGCACGGTCCCGACAGGGCTATAAACAGTCTCCAGCACGTCCCTCGGTTCGTGTTTGCCTCCTTGGGCCGCGGGGCAACTACTGAGGCTGTCACCGCCTTCGGAATCTCCCTCAGCAGAGTCTTACTTTACTGGACTGCCGACCGCTTTCGATCTCCGCCCCCTGCGCCTCTTTCGGGACTTGGCGCGTCCCGCCTCTCTTGCAACGGGATTGGTTCTCCTGGTCAGTAGAGGGGCGGGGCAGGCAAGCTCTTCCTGCTCATTGGGTGCTACGGACGTCACACAGAGAGCCGGGAGAGGTGACCGGAAGGGCCGGGTGCGGGACGGGTGAGTTACACAGTGTCGAGAGCTGCCCCGCGGGCCTGAGAGCGTCCCAGCGTGCTCCGCGCCTCCCGCAACCACTTCCGGGGCGGGAGCCGGGCCGTGGGGTCCAGGCGCTGCGGCGGCCGCGCGGAGTGTGCCGGGTTGAGTGTGGCAGAAAGCGGGCCTGGCCGAGGGAGCGCGGTGGCGAGCGGGGATTGGTGGCGGCGGCAGCGGCGGCCTGAGGGCGAACCGGGACTGGACACAGCGCAGGTATGTTCTGCAGCGGCCCGGCCTGGTGCTGGCACCTGCTGTCCACCTGTGCGGCCTGTAGCGGAGCGTCCCAGCTCTGCCTTTTGCTTGCTGTGTGAGTTTATGACTCTGAGCTTCCGCTCTGCACCTGTGGAGCTGGGACGATAAAACCACGTGCCATGTAGAATTACTGGGAGGTGGCTTCAAGGGACGTCAGTGCTGTAGGTTGCTCGGGTTTCCCTACTGGGACTCTCCCCAGAGCCTGAGAACGAGTTCGAGATACCCCGGCCCCGTGAAAGGCCCTCGCGCCAGGGGTCGGGCGTCGGGGGGAATGAGTGCCCTGGGGCTTTTACAGAACTCTTCCCTGTGGGCGTGGCGGTCTGTCACCGACGTCATATTTTTTAAGTTAATTTTTTTGTTTAGTTTTAAAATAACGGATATTTTACAGAAGGTATTTTACGGAAAGGACTGAACCAAAAGGTAGAGTAAAAATTAAAAGGTCCTATTTCCCAGTGCTACTTCCTGGAGATAAATTACTGGAAGCGATATTTCAAAAGACATTTTATACAAACATACAAATATAATCATGTTATGCATAACGAATACCCCATCATTGTAGAATGTCTGGCGTGTGGCAATGTGAAAAGAAATTAACAGTAGCTTTATGGTCCTGTGGCATCCAAGTTCTCTCTCCTTAAACTCCTTGAGCTGGGGTCTGATTCTGATTGTCCCCCGGCAGTCTGCAGAGTGTCAGACTTGTGAGCATCCAATGGAAGGAGAGATAACACAGGCCCCACCCCAGGAGGCATTAGCAGAAGAGACACACCCACAGAAGGCTTGAGGAGTGTATTGAAAGGGGGCTCTGAACTGACACTGAGTTTATTTGGCTTCTTATCCAGGCTCTGTGGGCCTGAACTGTGCAGGTAAGGGTTCTCACCTGTGAGGTGAGCGCTGCTTGATTTCAAGCCCTGCCAGTGCGAAAGGCAGTAATTCCAGGAAGTAGGGCTTTGTTCTAAACTTTGTTGCCAGCAGACCCCATCACATGTATGGATACTCTTGCAAAGAGCCTACAATTTTTTTGTCCCCCAAATTGGCAGTTTATTGTTTGGCCATCTTGGCTGTCACCTGGGCCTGGGTGACATTCTTTAGTAGAGACTGAGGTCAAGTGGCATCTGTGAATCACTGTGGTTCCTTTAAGCCATCTAAACAGGATGTGAACCTTCTTTGTTTTCTTTCTCTCCCTTTTCTACGCTTGCTTCTTTGTTCTTTCCCACCCAGAGTACAATAGGAGACAAATGTCACTCCTGGACTTAAAAGTTCTGCTAGGAAGCTAATGACTTTGCCTTGATTTGTGTAGCATTCCCAGAATAATGGACTCTCATAATCATAGACTTGTCATCCTGGTGTTGTCCTATCTCAGGGAAAGTGTCACCCCACAAATTTATAAAATCCACCCCCCATCTCTCCTACTTTCAAGGAATGCATAGGTAGATTCCTAGTCAGTTAACATTTGCTGAACATCAGTCACATTCCAGTTTTTGTGCGAGGGGCTCTCAATTTTTTCAAAATTTATTTGCTTAAAAAACTTACAGTAAAATTCATTCATTTGATGTTCAGGTCCGTGAGTTTTGATAAATACAGTCATATATCTACCAGTCAAGATGCAGAACAGATCCATCATCCCCAAATTTCCTCTTGCTGTCCCTTTGCGGTCCCCCTACCTCTAACTCCTGGTAGTGCTGATCTGTCCTCCAACTCTTTATTTTTTCCGGAAAGTCATATGAATGGAATCATACAGTAGTTAGTCTTTTGAGACTGGCTGTTAGCACAGCGTATTTGAGATTGGTTCGTGTGTTATGTGTATCGACTGTTCCTTCTGCTTATTGCTGAGTAGTATTCCATCATACGAATATGCCACTTTGTTTACCCATTCTTCCATGTGTCTTTATCAGCAGCCCTTTGAGATATGTTCCCCTTAGACAGTGAGGAGCTAGAGATCAGAGATGCAAGAGCAGAGCCAAATTTTAATCTGACTCCAAATCCTGAGTTCTTTCCCACCATACCCAAGAGCTGATTTGGTTCACTGACCCAATTGGCATTTCTTTACTCCCCATCCAGGAGATTGTTAGGCTTCTTGAGTTTCTGGAGAATTCTATTCCTAGAATGTGGGGCGTAAAGATTGGTGAAGGAAAATATATACCATATAGGCTCTTCTTTTTCATAATATTTAATATTTAAACCATACAAAAAGTCTTCTAAGTCAGCCCCAGAAGTTGACTGCATTGGGTAGCAGTCTGCTAGGAGAGTGACATAGCTGCCTACTGCAGGTAGGGGTATGACCGTTCTGTTTCATTCCTTGGAACCACCAGGAAGGAAAGACCTATCCCCTGGGCCTCCCTCCACAGTGATGTCGGAGCTCAGCGATGAAGCCAGTGAACCGGAACTCCTGACCCGCAGCTTGTCCATGTGGCATGGGCTGGGTGCACAGGTCAGCTGGGAGGAGCTGGCCGTCCCCTTGGATCTCCACACAGCTGCTTCCATCGGCCAGTATGAAGTGGTGAAGGAATGTGTGCAGCGGTAAGAGATCTTGGGAAATTGTTTCTCCTCCTTAGTTTTGAGAAACTGTCTCAATGGCTTCAGCTCCCATATAGAGATATTACTAAGCTAACAGGGCCTCGCATGCAGTCGTAGATGTTTAATACATATGGCCTAGATTAACCTTGCTAATCTCGAGCAGTTGTCAATATTGATTTATGCTGGATTCAGCTGAGGGAGGCAGTTTTTATTCCTAAGAAGAAAAAATTGCTTTAAATTTTTTTCATAGGCTTAGAAACATTTCTGCCATACTTTGACCAGATTAATTTTATGGATTTTACTAATTGCAGAAATGCTCAACAAAAATAAAGATAGAAGGTGATTCTCCATGACCTTCTTTTCTCAAGGGATTTATTTTAATCCCTCATGCCTTCCTCTCTCTTCCAGCTTCTGCCATAGAGAGAGGGAAGCAACAGGGTCCCTCTGCCCCTCTGGAGGATTGCCACCTGAACTAAGTGCACACATACTGTTTTTATTAATCTTATACATATATTAAGTCCGATACAACAGCAGTGGCCCTTGGCTATGTCTTGTTCATAGTACAATATGATACCTACTGTAATTTTTGGAAAAGAATTCATCTCCTTGCTTCCACTCCCTTATGTCTTCCACACATTTTACTCACATTTCCATTTCTCATTGATAACTTAGAGAAACAATCTATATCCATACCTATATATGTCTTTTCCAGTTCCTGGGGTGCCAAAGCCAAGCCTCGTGGAAGCATTAGGTTTCCGGTTCCCAAGTCATAGCCATCACTTATAAATACCTGGCCAGTCAAGTTTAAGTGCACTATGGTGAGGGATAATCCATCATACTCTTGTATCAGGCGGCCTTGAGAATGTTTAGCCAGGTACGTAGGCAGCACATCTCCCTCACGAGGTCCCCAAGACCCCAGATATAACTATTCCTTTGGCATTCTTGGGCTTTTAAGCCTTTGGGCTTGCTGGTAAAATGCACAGTCCAGAACGGCTCCACGGAGGAGAAGAGGGAAGTGTTTGTTTTCTAGATGGGATTGTGACACTAGCTGAGCCTGAGGCTTGCTCACAGTAAGACAGACTAGGGACCCAAGGAGTTGGAGAAGGGAAAATTGCGCTGAGGGGAGGTGAGAGAGCCTCAGGGATGCTCTGCTCAGAGTATGGCTCCCCACTCTCCATTTGGAATTGAGCATTCCATCAATGAGTAGTGATTTGGGTGGTGAGGATGAAATGGTCTCTGTGCAGCTCTCCCAGCCAGTGGCTGCTACTGCATTTCTGGAATCAGGACCTTCCGGAATGGCTTTGTGGGCATCCCAGAGTCAAAAGATGCTAGTGAATGGTAAATAAGTGTCTGGTATGGCTTAATGTGTGTAAACCTACGAGGGGCACAAGCTGTGTGGATTGATTGGTAATTGTTAGCTCCGCTGGAGGCGGGACTGTGGAAGAGGAAAGGCTGGGAGGCATGAATTATGCAGTATGCTTCTGGAAGTGGGTGTTATTTCCATCCCCCAACCCCAAATCCAGGGTTGGGAAGCCCTCATTTGTTTTTTCCTGTGGGAAACGCTTTTCTAGAATTTTAATGGAAATCGGTGAGAAAGATAGGATTATTTAGTCACAGATTTTCCAAGAATGTTTCTATAGGGTTAGGTGACAAAGTCCTCTTTTCTCTCCCCCAACGCTGGACAAGCAGACTGTGGTCTATTGGTGAAAGGTAGTCAAGGCTCCAGGTCAGGGTCTTTCGACCTTGGCACTACTAAAAATCAGATCACTCTGTGGTGGGGGCCGTCCTGTGCACTGTCGGATGTTGAGCAGCATCCCTGGCCTCACTGCCGGCTTTGGCAAACCCTACAGGTGAGACGGCTGGGCTTGTCTAGCATATCTTACGTTTGTTTAGGAGAGAGTTAGATTTGAATAAGAAGAATGGTGGTGGCTGGACCCCGCTGATGTATGCCTCCTACATTGGACATGATACCATCGTGCACCTGCTACTCGAGGCGGGGGTGAGTGTGAATGTGCCGACCCCAGAAGGGCAGACTCCATTGATGCTGGCTTCCAGCTGTGGCAA